ATAAATAAATACTAGGCTGGATCCAAGGTGACATTATAACAGAGGACATTGTGACTAAGTGTCTATTCTTCCTCACCTTTCAGGTTCTGTGTGTTGTGGACTGAATTGTATCCTTCCACAAATTCTTTTTTTGTTTGTTTGTTTGTGGTGTGGGGGATTGGATCCAGGAGTGCTCAACAACTGGGCCACATCCCAACCTTTTTTATATTTTTATTTAGGGACAGGTTAAGTTGCTTAGGACCTCTATAAGTTGCCAAGGCTGGCTTTGAACTCTCCATCCTCCTACTTCAGCCTCCTGAGCTGCTGAGATTACAGGTGTGCGACATTGCACTCAGCCCACAATTTTTTGTTTTTGTTGTTTAAACCCTAAAACCCAATGTGATGGGATTTAGACATGAGGCCCTTAAGAGATAATTTGGTCTAGATGAGGTACTAAGGATGGGTTCCTTCTGATGAGATTAATGCCCTTATAAGAAGAGAGCTAACAGAATTTAACTTGCTTCCTCTTTCTCAATCCTCACTTACACAAGCAAAAGGTGATGTTAGAACACAGGAAGAAGGCAGCTATCTGCAACCCAAGGACTGACCCTGAAAGTACCTTGATCTTAAGCTTCCAGTTTCTAGAACAGTGAGAAATAAATTCCTTTTTTTTTTAAGCCACCCAAATTGTGGCATTTTGTTCTGGTCACCTGAGCTGACTGAGGTACTTTTTGTACACTTTCTCAAGTGCTAAATAGATTTAGAGCTTGCCAGAATTATTTTGCATATTCAATTGACTGTTATCTTCAATCCATTAAGTCATAAAGTTATTTCTATTATTTACTAATTTTTATGGGCCAAATGAATCAATTAACTAATTAAAATTAATTATTTTTTAGTGGTACCAAAGAAGTATTAATTTCTTAGGCCCTTTTCACTTTCACTTGTAGCATTAACGGTTAGTCCTCATTTTAGGGTCGTTTTGGAAAAATCTCCCATGCCTTAAAAAATAGTTTGTTACCATTTCTTGAAGTAGAGGATAACACACTCCATTAAGATGCAGACACTGGGTGGTTGGAAGGTACCCCTATCAGTCAAGCTGTTAACTTCCAGAAGCCTCTAAAATCAACACCACACCCGATCTCATTATTTAATCTCAAACTTAATAGGCCCAGTATTAATTTTTGATCCCATACCAAATAGTACCATGTCATTAAAGGCAAATCTGAAAACATCTGTAAATCCCTGAAGTTTCACCTTAAAATAGAACAATACCTCACCATCTCAACTGATACACTGATATCACCATCAACTCTAGAGTATCAACAGACTTGTCTCAGTCTATTATCAACACAGCTGAAAGGGGACATGATATGAAGTCATATCATGTCCAGATGAAGTCATATCATGTCCCACTTAGGTTCCAACTTTCAGCTCCCTCTCTCAGCCAGATCATGAAGGAGTCTTCAAAATGGTCTATAAGACTTAGATGATCAGCTGTAATATCCCTGCTCTGTAAGCACTCTGACCTCTGTTTCCATCTACTCAAGGTTCACCACTCTTCTTGCTGTTACTCAAAGAGGTTAGGCAGGCCTCTGCTTGAGGACCTTAGCTTTAGTGTTGCCCTAGAATACTCTTCCAACTGATACCCACATGTCTTAAGTTGCTCATGTCCTTTAAGTTTTTGCTCAAATCTCATTTTTGTAAGGAGGCTAACCTGAGTACTCTTAAGTACTGCAACCTATTCTGTCTTCTTCCTCCCCTGAGCTTTGCTTTAGTTTCCATTTTTATCTAATAGCACTCACCATCATCTCCTCATATACTCCTTCCTTTTCTTATTTTCTTTATTCACCATTGTCTTTTCTACTTGCTTGAATGTAAACTCTTCAAGGTCATGGACATTTGTCACCTCCCATTGCTATACTTTTCCCCATTTAAAATAGCATTACTTTATATGTGTTCAACAAATCATTGTTGAATAAATGAATTATGAAGCTTCTTGGTGATAGAAAGTAAACTCCATTAATTTTGGATTTCAATTAGCTGATGGGGCTTGTTTGTGGTGTTTAGTATAATTTGACTTATATGAAAGAAGTAGGCTTTGACTGCAACTAAAGTTTGCTGAGGCATTAAGATATACACACTTATTTCTCCTGTGTCCCCACTCTTCATTCATATAGGAGGAAAGAGAAAATGTGGTGACAATAGATGGGGAAGAATACCAGAATTAATTTAGTGTTTATAATGTACTGGTAATTGTGTTGGTTAATTGAATATCTAAATTTATGATTAAACCATCATGATTCAGAAGAAATTCACAGGTGGACATCATCATGTGAGGCTTGTGATCACGAGAAAGCATGTATGCTTTGTAAGAGAAGTGAATCAATTGGTTAACCTTGGTCAAAATAATGCATCTTCCTGTCTATTTCTCTAAATATTTTTCTACTATTCATTTTCTACTCTTTAAGCCCCCCTTTTCCCCTGTGTAAACAATAAATAATTTTTATTAAATTTGAAATACTAAAGTTGGAGGTAGGCAGGGAAAGGGAAATGCATTAAGAGATTATGTTCTGTTGCCTAACTGTTTGAGTTCTAATCTCTGCTTTGCTACTACACAACCATGGGCAAGTGAAATACAATTTACTACCTTACTTATTGCATTAGCAAAATAGGATTAATAATAGTACATGCCACATAGGGTTGTTTTGAGGAATAGCACCTCACAATCAACAATGCCTACTACATAGCATTCACTCTAGAAATAGCTATTTTACAAAATATTGAAGTATTTTCTGAAATAAAAGTATATGATTTTAAATTTTTTGCGCATTACATTTTCATAAAATGCTGTTGTTCATACAGTGTAAACTGATTCATTGAGACAAATTATCATCACTTTTATTTTTTAAAAAATCAAGGATCATCTGAATTTTTTATTTTTGAAACATTATAATTACAAATACTAAGTTTAGGGAGTGAGATGCTGATGCTGCAGAATGTGGTTTTCAAAGTCTTCTCTGTGTCTGTCTTCATGATAGGAACTTTCCTGTGCAACCCTTTCTCTAAGGAAGATATACACTGTCAGGATCTATAAAGGATCTAATATTTTACCCCACTTGCAAGCTAATAAAGTTTCAGAGAAATTGGCAGAAGGCATGAGATTTCTGATTCAGAGATAAAGGACTTTATTACTCAAAGCACAAAAGCAGCTTGAGCAAAGTCCCCCAGGGCAAAGTGGAACTGTCAGGAGGGTGATGCAATTCAGTGGGTTTGTTACCAGGCTGCTTAGGAAACTACATACTTTGGAAAGTCCTGTCTTTTAAAAGGGCTAATAACAAACCTACCCAAACTTTGTCCTGGAGGAAAATATTATCTTAAAAATTACATGTGCATGAGGCTGGAGTTGTGGCTCAGCGGTAGAGTGTAGAGTGCTCAACTAGCAAGTGCAAGGCCCTGGGTTCAATCCTCAGTATCACATAAAAAATAAATGAATAAATAAAGGTATTGTATCCAACTACAAGTAAAAAATGAATATTAAAAAAAATTACACATGCAGAAATGTAAGAGACTCATGGAGATTTGACACCTGGTATGCCCAAATATAATGCATCAATCAGTATGATCATTGTAATGAATATATCTCAAAGTTCAGATCCTAGATTTAGACTAACCAGTAAATGTAGACAATCTTTCCCTAAGTATTTATTTGAATATATAGTTAATTCTGTGTATTAACTTGGCAACAATTTGTTCAGCTTTCTATTATCACTTGATACCTTAATGAGCCATACATTCTTTTCTGCTACCAAGTAGAATTTGCCATTTTTTCTACTTATTTATTTATCCCAGTAATTTAACTTTATTGGTAAAGTATTTCTTATTGTGTCAGAGGAACTGACACTTTCTCAAGAATAGCTTGTACATTTTCAAGCTTCCTTTCTCTCTGTCTCTTCCTGGTAAAACTGTTTCACAAGGTCCACGATATTCCTCTGTGGTGTAGCTAAACAACAGTTAAGCTTTGCAAGACTGATTTCATCTGCTAATAGTTAACACTGCTTTTTAACATCCTTATTTTTGAAATAGCTCCTCTCTTATTCTTCAGTGATAACTTGAAATAATATCATCTTTGTTTTGTCTTAAAACTGAAACTATGACTATTTTGTTCTTTTAAACTCAGAGTTATAAATTTCATTTGTATTCTAGATAAAAGCAGACTTGTCAATTACTTAAAAATCAAAATTAAAATTAACTCTTTACCAAATAATAAATAGCAAAATATTCTTTGGTATAGATAATATTTAATAAGGGTTTTCCAAAGGTTGAGTCACTGGTAGGACTGCCAGATAATATACAGGACACTGTGTATTACCGACCTATAAACAGCAAAAAATTCTAAATATAAGTGTACGTGTGTATAATATTTGAGACTTATCCTAATTATTTACTTGAAAATCAAATTTAACTAGATATCCTATGTTTTTATTTGTTACATTTGACAATTGTGGCCAGACTCCTAAATTTGGAGTCAATTGGGGTTTAATACAGAAGTACTCTCCTTTGGGCATAGCCATGGTCACAACTTCAAAGTTCTGATGTGACATCAATACTACACAAAAGCAAATATTAGTAACTGCAAAATTTGAAATTCAAAGATGACTAAGTCTAAGCGCAGAAGAGTCTAAGAGTAGAAGTGTGCTGACCGGTTTTGATTTTCTAGGGAGAAAAGAAACTTTAGGAAACAATAGCTTAGAGAATCCGGAGTGAGTTGGTTAAGAACTTGAGTGAGCCAATAAGAGCTGAACGAACAGGTTCTCTGAGCCAAGAGACCTGATAGCCAATCAGAACTGAGGAGAGTGAGGCTAGACTCCGAGAAGGGGCGGGCTCCCGCAGTGTGGTCCGTGAAAGGCAAGACTCAGCCAATCGGAACTAGGTAGGGCGGGGCTGGATTCAGGGGGCGGGTTTGAACGCGCGAACGCGACGCGCGGGGATTGGGTGGCTTTCGGCCTGAGCTGCACCTGCACTTCCCGGCTTTTCTCACCAGGGCGAACGCCAACTCAAGAGTGACTATTGGGTGACACTTGATCGGCTCTTCATGGCCTACCCGGGATATGGAGGAGGGGTGAGTCCTGGTTACTTCTTCGTGGCCTTGGTCCTCTCTGGGTGTGTGGCCCGACGGGCGGTGCCACCGTGCGGGTCCGCCCACTGCCTCCTCGTCCTTCTCTGGTGACTGGTACTAGAGGGCCTGGAACAGAACTCTGAGTGGTGCTGGAAACAGGGGCTGGGCGGGCTAAAATGGAACTGCAGGTGTTCCGATCCTTGAGGACCCCTAAGTGTCGACCCTCAGTGTGACGTCGCCATGTGAATTGTGTTTTTGAAATTTCTTTTCTTGGAACCGAGGAATAAAACATCCTTCTCCTTTTGTAATAATCTTATAGGGTTCTCACCCCTGCTCCACGCAGTTTTGTTACAGATCCTCTTTCTGAAATTATTTTTACCACTTCTCATTTTTAAAATTCCTTACAAATACATTAAGATGAACTCTAAATGCCCCTAATACCTTTTGTCAGAGCAAGGGCAATCTGTTTTTCTAGACTTTGTTTTTGAAGTTGTGAAGATTATTCTTTCTCATGTAATTATTTTTTCTACATCACCTTTGGGAGTTAGAAGTCTTAATTGTAGTATCCTGTGGCTAGTACCTTCCTTTTGGAAAGGAATCCAAGTCTTCAACCTTTTTATCAGTAATTTTCAAAGTGCCTGGAGCATACTTTTTGTTTTAAAAGAGTGTGGGATGGTCCACTAGGGTGCAGGCAGAAGGTAGCCTGTTTTCTATTTTTATTTTAACTTTTTTTTTAAACCCAAAGATGGAAACTATGCTTTATTAATTTTAATCCAGGAATTGACACTGGCGTATGGTAGTGGTGTTCAAAGGAATTAATTCTAATCCTTGGGACTAAGGGAGAATCATTTTTTAAGGTAATGGGTTTCCAGGCTCTCAACTCTGACACATACTTGTTCCTAAACTGTGTTGCTTGAAAATGTGCCTGAATTCCCTCTGGCATCTTCCACTTTCCAATGTCTACTTTCAGTCCTTAAGTTACTAAGGAAATTTAAGGTGCCTGAGGAAGGTAAAATCTCTTTCAAAATTAGTCAAAATAGCATGAATCCATGAGGCATTTGAAATTTCACTACCTTCTACATATTTTAATTAGATTGCAGTCCCTGTTAGAAATGTTACTTTTACTCCTAGTTGGATGTCCTAATTTCATGTATGTGGTAGAGATGATGGTGATAGTAATAACATATTAATTGAAAGGATTTGCTACTTCTTTACCCCCATTTTTATCAGAGTGCTTGTGTTTAATGGAAGGAAACATCTGAACATATTTTAAACATTTAAATGCTTTTTTTCTGCTTATCCAAATAAAAGCAGCTCTTCACATCAATTCTCCAACTCCTTATTAGTATCTAGGACAAAAATACCCTCAAACAAAGAAAGCAATATAGATTAGTAAAATTAATACTTTTCAGTGGAACTCTTTTAAGATACATTGAATAAAATCCAAGGGTAAAATATGCATTATTTCTTTATTTGGAATATATTTGTAAGTTAAAATTGTTTTATGAAACATATTAACTATAGTCAATATAGACCTAAATTAATATTTTTATATTTAACAAAATATAAAATGGTAGCTGTTAGACCTTTTTGAAAGTATACTTTTATCTGACCCAGTAAATGATTCATCTTTTTAAATGCTTTTCTAATACTTTTTTACTTGTTTAGTAAGAGTTTTTTAATCAAAATTGTATTATTTTCATTGTACTAATTTTATAATAAAAATTTTCACAGGAAATAAAATTTAAAATTTTAATTTATACATATTTTCATTATATTTTTTCTTCCTCCTACTTGAAATTCTTTTTTCTTTCTGTCTTATGGCAACCTCTTTTCAGCCTTCAGGTCAAGATTTTTGTTTAATGGAATAAGTTTATAATCTACTACTTCTTTCTCTCTGGACTCACAAAAATTCTGAGCAAAATGTTTTTCTAAGGTATTAAAAGCATATGCCATGTCCCAAAATGAACAGTAAATAAGAGAGAAACCATAGCCATAGCATGAAATAAATGTGGATAGGGTTTATCCACATGTCTCTGAGGGTAAGTATATTTGAATACATGGTCTATTTCTTACTAGCTATTTGACCTTGACCAGTTCAGAAGATCTTGAAGTTTTAGAACCTCAACTGCAAAAAGAACAAAATACTTTTATATCTCATGGAGTTGTGAAAATTTAATAAAATAATCAATGGAAGTACTTAGAGTGGTACATGGCATATAAAAAGCCCTCAATAAATATTAACTGCCTAATATTATTATTTCATTGGTATTATTATTTTTCTTATTAGTATTGGAGTGGACTATTGTAATATATTAGTATTGGATTATTATTAGTATTGGAGTGGACTGTTGTAATATATTAGTATTGGACTATTATAATATATTAGTATTGGAGTGGAGTTGTCACTGGATTTTTTTCTTGTCATCTTATTTTTTAAAAAAATAAATCTTTTATGGTGGAGAGGATATTTGAGCTATAAGCAGTTTCCCATGATTAGGTCCCAGTTTCATTGTATTGACCACATTTTTTTCTAAGTATGTGTCTTGAGGTATAATTCTGAGTTTCACTATATGTGAAATCTTACATGTTTTACCTTCATTTATTTCAATGATGATGATGGTAAACTTTAAAAATTATACCTTATATTCTTTTGTTGAATTGAGTTCTTAGTGGCTGATTTTTTTTAACTACTTTTAAAAAATTTTTTACTTGTAGATGGACACAATACCTTTATTTATTTATTTTTATGTGGTGCTGAGGATTGAACCCAGTGCCTCACACATGCTAGACAAGCTCTCTACCATTGAGCTATACCTCCAGCTCTTAACTACTTTTAATGCTGATTAACAAATCCTAATGAACTCTGTCTTAATGTTAGTTACCTAGTATTATGTAGCTTAAGCTTTTGTGATAATTGTGTTTGGGAGCTTTGGGTAACTATATTTTTACTTTTCAGTGGACTTTCAATACATATTTTATTTGAAGCCACTTTAATGGATAATTTTTGTATTATTTATCTTCTTCTCTTTTACTCTTGTAGTTTGGAAATTTTAGTGGTCAGATGCCAGGAATGCAAATGCCAGGAACAGGTCCAAACATGTTCCCTGGTGGTTACTCTGGGTACCCAGCATATTCAGACAATTATTCTTCAGCTGATGATGCTATGTGGAAYTATTTCACTGCTGTTGCTGGACAGGTAAGGTGCTAAAATTATTGCCTAAGTGTTAGTTTTTAAAAAATGATTGGTATTCAAAAGAAATGTCTAGTATTTCACTTAGTATATCAGTTTAAATGCATATGGAACTTATGTTTTAATTTTATCTAGGCTGATTTTGTTCTTGAGACCTGAGATGAGGGCAGTCATAATTATTTTATTTTAAAAAGTCACTTTAAATCAATTGAAAGAGGAAAGATATTCAAAGTAGAAAAATCTAATTCTTCCTTACATAGTAGGATGTCTTCTAAGGTTTGATGTTGTTTGTCACCACCAAAACTCATGTTGAAATTTACATGCCAGTGCAGTGGTACTGAGAGGTAGTAGTGCCTTTAAGAGGCCTTTAGGTCATGTGGGCTCCATTTTCATCAAAGGATAAAGGTGATTCTTGAAAGAGTGGGTTAGTTATTTCACATTGGAGTGGATTGTTTTGAAGTGAGTCAGTCACCTCCCATTTTTCTCTCTCACACATTTGTCTCTGGTCTTCACACCTGGTCCTTACAAAGAAGAGCTGATGCCTGTGCTTTACCTAGCTTCCAGAAACATAAGCAAAAACAAACCTCTTTTCTTTATAAGTTACACAGCCTCAGTTATATAGCTGCAGAAAATAGACCAACACTTTTCTTGCTGACATTATTTGACAAAGGGATTTTGTTACTAGTAGTTAAGTACATCATCAAAACATAAGAATTAGTACTTAGATGTTTTCTTATTTTGAACTATCTTATCTCTCACTTAAATCTTCTTAATATCTTCCTATGTTTGACAATGAGAAGAATTCTATTCCCTTGGAGAGATTGATAATCTAAAGCTAACTACATTTAGTCTGAACATCCTTTTATAGCAAATAAGGATGAGTATTACAAATTTAAGGGAAGGTAAGAGATATTTACAGCAATTAGTATTTAGTCTAGGGAACAATATTTTAACTTTGCCATTCATTCCATTAAAAAGAAGTGTTTGTGTGTATGTGTTTGTGTGTGTGTGTGTGTGTAATTTGAAACCCAAGTATGTCAAACAGTATTATAAATAGGAAATCACCTCAAAATATCATAAATTTATTCAAGTTGAGCAATTACATTTTTTCCACAGAAGGATTTATGTCATTTTTAGTGATTTTTTTTTAATTTATATGACTGTCCAGTCTTTCAAAAAGATTATCTATATAATCATATTAGGGCATATTTTTCTATCTTTAACAAAAAAATACAGAAATTATTATCTTAATGATATATTATAGTATTAGCATGTTATTAATCTCTAATAAATTTGAATAAGTATGTAGAAGGCAGGCTTTATTATGACCAATCGGGAAGTATGAACCTGCCAATTCAGGTACATGAGTTTTGCATGCGAAGTTTTAGTGATAATAAGTAATTATGTGGTCAGGCAAAGTTTTTTCTTTATTTCTATTGCAACTACTGTTTATTATACCACAATTTATTCCTTTTAAAGTAATTTTATATTCATTATCTTTCGAAAGTTCAAGTGGTCTTAATGGAAGTATGTATCACATCCATTTTTATGAGATATCAGTTGCATTTTTTATAAGAGAATTGTTGAGTATTGAAGATAGGAAAGAATATAATTGTGATACATATTTGTATATTTACATATATAAGTGTGATAACATATACAGACATTTGGTACTTATATGTGTTATATATTTATTTATATTTTTGTATATTTTTTTTCCCATAGTTCCTAGGTCATAATGCCTTCCCTGAGGCAGGATATAGGGCATAGAAACTAGAATTTCTCTTCCCCAAGGAAGTCACAGAAACTTTTCCCTGTTCTTATATGGCCATAATTTTCTTTATTCTCTGATTTACCTTATCTGACAGGAGGTCATAAGACTCTTATTCCAGAGGAGTTCTCTCCCATTGTAAAGAACCTCCACACCCTTTGGTTCCTTCTTCATTGTCTAGAAGTGTAGAATTTAGAGAAATACTCAGGAATGCTACACAGAGGCCAAGTAGTGTCTGAATTTTAGGCCTTGCTGGATTTTCTTACTTAGTTTATTAGCAATCATGCTGATGCTATGAAATCTGAACCCGAAAAGACGGGGTTCAGAGAACTTCTATATAGCTGAACATGTGAAGGTTCTTGTTCACCTATTGATGTGCCATGAAAGTAGCACACCGTAATGCCAAAGGAAGTGTAAAGAAAAAAAAAATCAGAGTCCCACTGTATGGGACTTCTTGAGGCAATTAATGGATGATGTCCTGCATTTTATAGCATCTGATTCTTAACCCTGGTAAAATAGTAGATATTGTTTTTCTTAGGAAGAGTACACCTTCACTTCTGAAAAACAAGGCATATAATTGACTTTTATCTACAGTGTATCCTTCTAGGCAGAGCAGTGGGTGAGGGGAGCTCAGGCCTTTGCAGATAAATGAGCACATGGAAATGTGGCACACAGAGTTTAAAGCTGTTTTATTTTGTGGGAGAGGAAATAGTGAGCTGTTTTGTAGTTTTCATTCCATTCATAAAAAGGATCCTAAAATAACTTTTATGTGTTTCAACTAAAATTTGCAATAAATTTTGTTTCGTATCTTTTCAACTAGCATTTTTTCCAAGTCTGCTTTTTCTATAAATGTTCTTTCATCGTAAAGAACCTCCACACCCTTTGGTTCCTTCTTCATTGTCTAGAAGTGTAGAATTTAGAGAAATACTCAGTTTGGGAAAAGTGTGAAATATTACGGAAGAGGCTGGTGAGAAACTTTTGTGTGAAATGTTACGGAAGAGACTGGTGCTTGAACAGAAAATATCATCTGACATGTAGGATTTGTTGCTCTTCATTTAAATTGGATTGGTGTAGATTTTCAGTACACTTACATTTTTCTTGAAAACTTCATGTTTGTGTGGTCTAACATTCCATTCTTTGCATTCTTGTGCTTTCTACGTGATACATTGTTTTTATAAATGGGAAAAAATTCATGAGGCTCAGTAACTTCTCATTAATTTAATTATCAAGTAGAATGGCATTTTTCCACTTAAGAAGAGTTAAAGAAAAGATAATTTATAACTACATCACTTTTTGTGTGCTAAAAGACATTTTTTTAAAAAAAAATCAAAAAGAAAGATAAGTCATTTTCTTCCTTTGCCTCTTCTAACAGTTTGTAAAAGAGTCTTTTTAAATTTAGTGTGCCATCATTGACAGTAGCATGGCATTTGTGTCTGTTATTTCACAGAAATGGTATTGACAGTGGCAGCTCTCCAAATTAATTAGTAGAGTGTTTTACTAATGACTTTTTGCTCAGAACATGAAGTTTTTGAAAGAGGTTTGTAATATAATAATCATTTGAAACAGTTGCTTCGGGACTTCTAATAGGGAGGTGGATAAATGTTGGTTAAATAAAATGTGCCCCAAAGTTCTTCTAAAGTTCCTATAACTGGAAGAAAGTATTTGTAATGTAGCTATAAGTCTAAGGAAATAGGTATTTTTTTAAGGTATAATTTTATTACTATAGAATTTAAAACCTAATAAAGATCCCCAAAGTATGTAGGACCTAGGAAGGAGCACTCAGATATTCTAAGCAGAGATGACTGTAAGGATGCTTCATTGAGAAGAATATTACTCAGTATTTTTAAATTTCTATTAGAACCACTGGAATTGTGTTTGCAGGTTCATTGTTAAAGATCTAGTTGAATGTGACTATTTAAATACTTCTTAGTTTTTTCTAAAGTATTTGTTCATTTCTTTTTTTTATGAAGCATGTGTCTTAAATTTATCTTTTTAATCTTTTCTCATAGCTCTTGTTTTGCATCTGTGCCAATGTATGTGATATTTCCAAGTGAATTACCTTACTGTATATTTGTGTAGAAAATAGGATTAGGTACTGAAACGTAAGGAGAATACTCTGTTTCATTTCCATTGTCATTTCCAATAAATTCAAACAGGAATGTTTGGACACTAATCAGAATAGCTACACAATACAGAGGACTATAAAATTTCACTAGAGGTAATTGTGAGATCGAAAAGGGTGTTTCCCTGCCAGTAAAACATTCAATATGAAGTTTTTCTTTAGACATAGTTCCTTCCAAAAATGACCATATCTGGGAATGTTTGTGAGAACTTTTTAAAAACGTTTTATGGATTTTTCTATTTTAATTAGAGATTCAATGACTTTCACAATATATTGTTTTGAACTGTGATAGAACAGAGTGAATGTGCTATTTTTTTCAGAAGTAGAGGAAATGATTCATTGCATTATGTTCTGTAATATGCTTTTGCGGTTGATAATTCTTTTTAGAATTTTGAAGTTGATACCAGTATTCTGAGAAATGCATATTTCTTGATTGAGCTACCATAGTTAATTAACATTTTAATATGCTTTTATATAACTAAACATTAAATAAGGTTATCATTATTGTTTTAACAGGATGGTGAAGTGGATGCTGAGGAACTTCAGAAATGTTTGACACAGTCTGGAATCAGTGGAACTTATTCTCGTAAGATCTTCCCCACCCCCTTTTGTTGAAATTGGAATAGGATATTCATTTTCTAGTTTTTTGTATCCCCATAATTAGAGTACATATTTAAAAATTTCATAGCAGCTATACATGCACATGGTTTAAAGAGATGGTTCAGCCAAATGGTTCAGTTATGAATATAATCTGTTCCTTGTACATTCCTTTCTTCCCAACATTAATCACTTATATAAGAGGCTTCTTTTTAGCTGATTCTTCTCGAATTGAGAGGATTAAATTCTCTTTCAACCTTGAGGTAACCCTGTCCCTTCCCTTCACACAGGAATACTTCCCAGTCTCCCATAGTACAATATGGTGGTATGGTAATTTTGGTTAGGTAATCTGTATTTTTTTTTGGTATGTACATACTGTTTATAACTTTGTCTTGTGACAATATATGATTACTTTTCCTTTTTATATAACTTTTTGCTTTTCTTGAAATTAATAAGGTTAAGTATTCTATCTTATCAACCTGGAACTTTCCAGTGTGCTCTGTTTTTTGTGTGTGATTCTCATACTGGCATTCTTTCACCTTCATTCTGGAGCTGTCTTTGTCTTGAGTTGGTTGGCCTCTTCACTCAATCTCCTTACATCTTGCTTTCCACTTAAAAAAAAATACAATCTCTTATTTCAATGAAATTTATCATTAGGTAAAATAAAAGTGGTAAATTTTGGTGACCTTATGTATATTAAAAAGATTTAATTCTATCTTCAGAATGGAGGGATTTTAGGTCAGGTATAGAGTCCTGGGTTACAAATCATTTTCATATTGAATTTTAGAGGTATTACTTAATTGTTTTCAGCTTCCATTGTTGTTCTATCTTTACACTTCTGGCCCATATGTGATTTGCTTTTGTTCTCCAGAAGCTTGGGAGATCTTCTCTTTGTTCCTAGTATTCAGAAATTCCATAATGCTTTACTTAGTGGTATTCTGTGGGGAACTCAGTGCATGTGTGCTTACTCTGGAAACTTATTTACTTTAGTTATGGGTAATATTCTTCACTGATGTTTTCTCTTTCTATATTGCATGTTATTTGAACTAGGTCTTCTACTTATTCTTTTTTTTTTTTTTTTTTTGGTGTGTGTGTGTGTGTGTGGTACTGGGGATTGAACCCAGGGCTTTGTGCATGCGAGGCAAGCATTCTACCAACTGAGCTGTATCCCCAGCCCTCTTTTATTCTTACACTGTTTGGGAAATGTCCTCAACTTTATTTTCTAAAACTTCTATTGAGTCTTTTGTTTTGACTATAATTTTTTTAACTCTCTCAAAGACTATTAATATCCTTGAGTTTTTTCTTTCCCTGTGCCTGTTATTTCTTACAAATTGTTTTTATATCCCCAGTTTGTTTGTTTGGTTATCTTTCATGTCTTTTCTCAGGTGCTTGATGATACTTTTGTTGCTCATGTTTTACTAAAATGCTGATCATAAGTCCTGACATCGTGGTTAAATTTTGATCATGGGCCTCAGTGCATGTTTTTTCATTTGGGCAGTTCTGTTGTGTAACTTTCAGTGTTGGTATTTTTAGTGATTTCCTTTGGGAATGGTTATCCAGTTTATCTTCTGACTGCAAGGGAGATGAAATGGAGTCCACAGGGTTCTCAAAACTTTTGTAAATATTCAATTAATTGCCTTGTGTTTAGTAGATATCCCATCCCAGCTGTGCCTGATATACTACAGTCCAGAGATTCTCCAGAGAACCAAATTCTGCTAGGTTTAGGAGTCAGAGCTATCAAACCAAATAGAGACAAGGAGGTGATTGGGAGCTTTAAATTCTCCTATGTGGACATTACACGATTCTGTTTGTATTTATACCTTCACTCATGTTTTCAGAAGTACTGCCAATTCAATTTATGACACTTGGAGTCTTTCCTAAGGTAACTAAGTTGCTTCTGAGCTTTTCTCTTTTTGAGTACACATTACTTAATTCATGTCCTTTGACTTTATAACTTACAATGTATTTTCCTGTTGTTTCCTCTCTCATTCTCTTTTACTCTATAGATTTTTATATTTTAAAATAGCTGTCCATTCTGTTGGGTTATGGGGAGGAAGTAAAAACCTATCAACTTTCTTGAATTAAAATTCTCTCTACTCTTTGTCAAAAATGTTTTATCCTTATATACATGATTATATTCTTGGAATGAAGATGTGCTTATTTGTCTGTTTAATTTTGGCCATGTATTATTACCCATTCTGATTCTCCCTCTTTGTGAATGTATGTCAAGTTAATTTTAAAGCAAAATGGATATTATTTACTTGGCCAAAAGATGGAATACCATTTCAGAAATTTTTTATATTAACAACTCCCCTCCAGTAGTTTTTATATGAAGGAACATTGACTTTAGTCCTGATTCTTCTATTTGTTAGCTCTGTACATGGGAAGCTATCTTTCTGGGCCTCGGTTTCTTTATTTGAAAAATTAAGACTGTTATACATTTGGTATGTTTATGTGAAATCGCATAACTTTCACTACCTAATTCATAGCGAGTTCTCATTCAGCATTGAGTTGTCAATTCAAAAACACTGTTACCAATAACTTTAGCACAGGCAGTTTTTATTAAATGTTTCATGAAAATCATCTCTTTTAACTTGTAGAATATTTTATAATTTATCCTTAGTCTAAAATTTAGCTGGTGTAATTTTCTTTTTAAAACTTTAAAAATATGTCATCAAGTAGCATAAAGTGAAATTAATTTTTAAAAATTATTTATCCACTTATTCATATTAACAAGTTTCTAGTAAGATTTTTGTAGGCCTAAGTGTACAGTGGTGATGTAATTCTTCTCAAAATAAATCAGCATAGTGGTTGAATGAAATTGTAATAAGGATTAGAAAAATTGAAGTTTATCTAGTGGGCTCTTTCTAGCACTATCAGTGTGAAAGTGTTACTATGTCTATTAAGCCCTGACTTTAAGATAGTTTATGTTGGTTTCTTCTTCCTTCTCCCCTCCCCCTTGCAATGGGAAAGGGGGACAGTGGCTTCAGCTCAGAGGCACATTTTCTTCTTCCTTGGTCATTGAAATAAGCCTCCAAATGCTTTTCCTCCCTCTGTATAATCTCACTTTAGAATCTATTCATTGTAAGCTAAAGTCCTTAAAATGGAAAATATAGAATTTCTCTTTTGCTTCTTAAAATCCTTCAGTGACCTTAATTAGTCTTTTGAGTGGTATTGAAGAGGTTAGTATCTGGCTCTTGTTTGTTTTTCTGAGGTACTCATATGCTACTTATGAGTACTCTTAAATCTTTTACACTTTGTGATTTCTGAGTATAAGTCAAGCTTCTACTTAAATCCCAGTCGGCATTTGTATTGGAAGACTGAAGCCCTTCCTGTCTCTAGGCCCCAGGCAAAGCCATGTGCTTTAAACACCTGTGACACCTATAGCTCTGTAATTTTTCATTATTTTGCAATTGCTTATCCCTCATGAGATGAGTAATTTGAAGACGTAGCCTTTTTTTTTTTTTTTTTCCTACAAATGCTTAACGTTCAAAGAAGGATGTTAATTATGGTGATTGTGTATTTGGGGCAATTTTAAAATATTTTCTTTTGGAAATAAAGATTGTCATAATTTTACATAGACAAAATTGAGCAGACTTCAGTTAAATATTCACTGTCTTTCAGCCTTCAGTTTGGAAACGTGCAGAATTATGATTGCCATGTTGGATGTATCCTTGAATGAAAATAGAAAAGACTAGAATATAGTTATTACTTTATGAATATTAAGCCCATTGTTAGTTTTAAGTGACAACCAATTAGTAAACTAGAATTTAAAAATATTTTTGAGATCCTGTTAGCTGTCTATAGACATTTATGTTTTTATGCAGAAAACATATGCTGATTTAGACTACCTTTGTAGATGCATACTTATTTTTTAGCCAATGATACAGAGTTTGGGTCAGGTTCATTTTCTCAGATCCCAAAACTTATATTCATTAACAAAACAATCAGAGAGATTACACAGGAAAAATGGGGTTTAATGAATTCAAGGAGCTTTGGGCAGCTCTTAATGCCTGGAAACAGAACTTCATGACCATTGATCAAGACCGAAGTGGCACAGTAGAGCATCATGAGCTGAGTCAAGCCATTGCTATTATGGGTAAGAATATTAAAATTCTGTCAAGTCTGTACAGGTCATCTTTGAACATATGAATCTTAATTCTCAGTTTACTACCGTAATGAGGGCTATATTTTTCACTAGAGTTCTCTAGTTGAAGTAAAGTTGCAGGTAAATTCTGACTAACACCGTTGTCAAAATTATATTAACTATGATTTTTTTCCAAATGTTGATCTTCCATTTTATTCTAAATTTCTTGGGTATGTTTAAATTTATTCTTCAATGGTTAATACTCACCACTTGTATTCTTTGGTTACTTGAGAAGGATATGTAATTTGGGAACAAAATTAATCTCAATCACAAATTTCTATATCAGAGTTTAATTTTTCAGCACCCAAAACCATGCTTTTCCCCTTCTTCACTTACGTAATAAAACACAAAAATGTAACAATATACCTCAAAATGGGAGATGGCATTTTAGAATATTTTGAAAGAATGTAACTTTATTTCATTATAATTTCTAATAAGCTAAGGCTCTTTCTTGGTCTGCTTTTGAAAGAGAAAAATACACAAAGTTGCTAAATTTGTTTATAGTTAATTGAGTTTTAAGAAACTTTATTTTTCTTACCCTGTATTTTTATTTGTAATTATTTCTAATCAAAATGTTTGTATGAAAATTAACTTTTTGGAAATTAACATCTGGACTTAATTTACAGGGACTTATCTGAAATATAATTTAAAGAACTCAAACTAGTGATATTTTTGTTTTATGTTTTAAATAGATAATTTATTTATTAGGGACAGTACTGGCCATATAACAATGTATAGTTCATTAATAGAGCCTTAATACCTAATGGATTAAACTGGGTCTTTTATTCAGCAAAATGTTAGAAAAGTAATATAATCTTTAGACTAAAAGAACATTTTCTAAGCATTCAAGTGGACAGTTAAATGTAAGAAAGAAGTGGACTGAAATATTCAAATGATATTGCTGAGAGTACTATGAGAAAATTTTAGGATTTTATCAGTACCTATCCACATCGTACTCAAAATGCGTTTTCATAAAACGATAGTAGTTTGCATGTTTTGCTATTTCTCTCATTTTATATTTTTTAACAAGTTTCCTGTGTTACACATTATTACAACTTCAGATGGAACATTCTGTCTTACATTTGTGCATCTCATTAAATTTGAAGGACCATCCTAGGGGTATAGCAAATATAACATATTAATTAACATTTCTGGTTTTCATCTCATTATTTTAAAATTTCAGTTTTTATGTATATTGTAAAAGGTAAATAGTCAAACAGTACTATATGCTAAAGCTGCTACAGGTGTTAATTAATAATATAAGCTAACTGCATACTGATAGGAGTTTTCTTCCCAATATGTTTCAAAGAAAGAGAAGGGGAAAACAGAAAAGTGAAGGAAAATTGGAAGGAAGAAGGTTAGTGATAATTTGGAGGGAGGGGCCCCTAAATCATGCTAGAACATCGAAATGGGAGAATGTGCCCAACACTGTTACTTTGCTCATATACAGGTCTGCTATAGGTAGGGTATTAAATCACCTGAGTTCCAGTCTCCATTTTTGAATATCATGGCTGAAGATACCAGAGAATGAATACTTTATCTTCCACAGATATTTACCTCCTAACAGAGCAGCTTTGCAATCTATCATACCACACTGATTTAGTTCATTGTCCTTCCAAATGTCACTACCAATTTAGATAGCCTGTAAGAGCATTGAATTTTATAATGCACCAATAAAAAATGTGGAATGAGAAAAAAAAGAGCATTGAATTTAAGGAAAATGGTAAAGGGAAGAAATAAGTTTTTAAAGGCATCAGGTTTCATTGTACATGACAAATATTTTTTGATCTTTTGTCAAATTAAAAATCATTTGAAAGGAAATAAATCTTCTTATAGAAATATTTATAAACATATATGTAAGTATGTTGTTTTCCTTACTTCCCTACAATTAATAATAAAAATGGTTTATAAGTGTCTTCTTGGAAAAAAACAATATATGTATAGGGCTGGGGATGTGGCTCAAGCAGTAGCGTGCTCGCCTGGCATGCGTGCAGCCCGGGTTTGATCCTCAGCACCACATACCAACAAAGATGTTGTGTCCGCCGAGAACTGGAAAATAAATATTAAAAATTCTCTCTCTCTCTCTCTCTCTCTCTCTCTCTCTCTCTCTCTCTCTCTCCCCTCTCTCACTCTCTCTTTAAAAAAAACAATATATGTATAGAATTTAAGAACACAAAGATACTGGAGGTGAATGATCAGAAACATTTTGATGATAAGAGTACACAGAAAGAATTCTGGAGACAACAAGACTGGAATAAAGAACCAAAGAAATAGTAAAAAATATATGAAGAAACAAAGTTTGGAAGACAAGGAAGAATAACACTTTAGGTTATTTTGGGGGTGGCAGGGACTAGGGCCTCAGGATTTCTAGGCAGGTGTTCTACCACTGAGCTATATCCACAGCTGTTTTCTGCTTTGGAGTAAGCATTTTGATTCCCAAGGGAGGGTGATGGGAATAGGAAACACAGTAGAATGAATCAGACATAATTTTCCTATGTTCATATATGAATACATGATCAGCGAAACTTCCACATCATGTACAACCGCATGAATTGGATCCTAATTAGAAAAAGTTATACTCAATGTAAGTGTCAAAATATACTCACTGTCATGTATATCTAATAAGAACAAATTAAAAAAAGAGTCAATGGGAAATGTAGGATTTGATTGATAGAAAAGATCACTAAGAATCTTTGCTTGGATATTCTTTCATTACTGGAGTTTGAACCAGACCTGGCATATGCTGAGCAAGGTCTCAATCTCTGAGCTACATCCCCAGTCATTTGTTTTGAGACAGGACCTCTCTAGTTTGCCCAGGCTTTTAATTTGTGTTTCTCCTTCCTCAGCCTCCTGAGTAGCTGGGATTACAGGTTTGTGGACCACTGAACCTAGTTTGCTTTGATATTCCTTAGGAACTATAAAAACAGAACTGAAATATTGAAAGGTTAAAATCTAGGAAATATACCTAGACATATCAAAATCAAAATACATTTAAAAAACAAAAGGTAATTATTTTTTTCCTTAGTTTTTACTTTATTACTGGGTGAGAATAGAATTATGATGTTTGTGTATCCTTTAGTAGTGTTAATAATGAAGCCTTTGATTTTTTTTYAATATGAATGTGCTTTATTTTTAATATTTTTTGTGGAATGACTTTTGAAAGTTAATCTATGTTATGACTTCATTAATGAAAAAGGCAATGTTGCTGTGTTCTTTTGCTGTTTAGTTTTAGAAATTATACTTTATCGATCTCTTTTTTTAGGCTATAGGCTGAGTCCTCAAACGTTAACTGCTATTGTTAGACGTTATAGTAAGAATGGCAGAATTTTCTTTGATGATTACGTTGCTTGCTGTGTGAAGCTTCGAGCATTGACAGGTATTGACCATTTAAAAATTGATTCAGTATTATGCTGTTTCCTTATAACATGTCCACCCTTTCTATGTTACTTATTTACTATTACATCTAATTAGTTTTAAGTTTTCAATATTTAATAATAAAAATGTTGAAAAATTGTTTTAGCTCAGTTTTGGAGTTTCCTTCATCTCTCAGTTGCTTGGAATATTAAATCACTTTAGATTTAATCAATATGAAATTATTGAGTCTTTGTACTTGGAGACATTATATATTTGAAATTATAGATTTTACATTATAATATTAAAAGTATTTTTTGTGTAAAGATTTCTTTAGGAGAAGAGACCACTTGCAACAAGGGTGTGTGAACTTAATTTATGATGACGTAAGTATCTTGCTTGCCACTTTGCTACTGTGTTCTAAATGTGTTCTTAGTTGTCCAAAAAAGTAAGAGATTAAGGGTATAAATGTGGGAAGTAATTCATTTTATATACCATATTGTTTCTTTTATTTATCAGCTGAATGCATAGATAACATTCAAAATTACTACAAATACCATTTTTTTTTCATTTTTTAAACCTAAATGTACTTTAAAATTTCATTACCGGTTTTTGGTCAGTTTATCTTCCAAATAATCTTTAAGGGTAAAAACTGTCATTTCCATTAAGAGTAGTTTATTTTGGCAGATCTTAATTCTCAGAGAGATGGGATATTTTAATCTCTGACAAATTATAAAACTGTTCCTTCCTCATTTCAACTGTTTATTGTTTAACATGATTCTAGTTTTTTTTTTTTAATTGAAGCTATAGTTCACGTGTGCTTTCATTTTCAGGATTGTGGTTCTGCTTTTTTATATTTACTGATATAAATCATAGAATCAGCAATACCTTACTAGTATATATTGGCTTCAATTACAAGCCTTAAGAAACTCTTAAACATTTCCTGTTATGAAAAATCTTTTAAGCAATATAATCAATTAAAAAGCATTTTATTGTTACCATATGATAATTTTACTTATGTAATTAGTTTTTGCAGGGGACCATGGTAATTTGAATGCCTTGTATTTGAAAGCAGAAGAAATACTGTGAATTTGTTTGCTTGGAAGAAGTGAACTGGACTAACTTAAATTAAAACTCTGGGTGCTTTTTCTGATCCTACTTGTTTAATTTTTTTCCTAACTATGTGTTTTTACTTTAATCCATAGTTCAAAGCAAGAAAAGATAGAGAAAGATTGTTTTTTTTCAAAAGTTATCATTTTGCAAATATCTGCACACTGTTGTAGAATATTGGCACAGAATTAATTGGTGTCAAAACTTCTTACCCTTAATTTTTAACAGTGAAAACCTAGAGGAATGTACTAATGAAATTATGTAAGATTATGTAAAGAAGCCAAATGACTAAAGCTTAGATAAATTTATACTTATATGAGAGATACAGATTACACTTTTGAATTGTATTTGTAGAGGGAGGTGTTTGAGGGTCAGCTAGAAGGGAAAGTCTGGATTTTGTGCCATCTTTGTAGTAGGATTTGTTCTTTGATCACATAATCAAAGAACATAACCTTTTAGGTTTTTGCCTATGAAGAAGAAAATTGCAGTTACTACAAATGTATCCTAATTTGAATCTATAGAAAAAAAACTACAGTAGGCATTGCTTTTCCTTTTTAAAATTTTTTTGCACTGCATATTTTTCTTCAATATATTATACTGTCTACTGTGAAATAAAAAGTTCTTTAAAAACCAGATTTTCCTTCTGCCTTGTATTTCATTAGTGAAAACATACATAACCTGAAATTTCATTTTTCTCTAAGTCTAGATTGGGGTAATGACACATTTTTGAGAAATCGTCAACTTTTAAATTTGTTGTTAAACTGAGTTAATATTATTATGTCAACTGTTTATAAAGTTCTAAATCAAGTAAGCTATGCCTCTATTTAGATATTACAAAGTTGTAAATTTGGCTTATTTGACTACATTAGCAAGTGGCTTTAATATTAGTAAATCAATAACTATTCTGATTATATCTTTGTAATATGGGTTATTGGGTATAGGAGATACCACAACAACATTTCTTGGTGGTTTTACTACAGAAATTATAAAGCAGAGTCACCAATTTCTTAACATTGAGATCCCTGGCATAAGCTGTCATAATTAATGTAGTTTCTTTCTTGGCAAACAACCTAAGTCTTTCTTAATGAAGATTTAATAAACCACATGTTTTTCTCACACTTTATCTGAACATCTTCCAGCCTGAAGGTGACTATAAATCGATATAATTTTAGTCTGGCTGGTAACCAAATTAACATACAGTTTTTCTAAAACTCCATATTTTGTAAAGGATGGAAGATGGGTGATAGTCCATCTTGGGAAAAAAAAAAACCCTTTTATAAATGAATAGAAAATCACCTTTTACTTTTAAAAAATCATAAATTTTAAAAGAAAGGAAGAAATATATAATTATTTGACAATGACAGTTTTTTATAATTTGCTATCAAATTCACTTAGTTTAATAATAATGGGTCAAAAAATAATCTGTATAGTTTTGTCCTCTGGCTGTTATTTTATTTTTCATGGACATATATTTATTAATGTGAGAGGACATTACCTGAGTCATAACAATACATAAGTATAATTTTAAAAGTTGCAGGAAAAAGAAACCAGATAGTGTGATCATTCATGTTGTATAATGGTAATGATATATATAACCCAGGAACTTGGAACCTTAACTTATAGGTGATACATTATCAAGTTAGTATGCTGTTCTATGTTTAGGTAGAGAATTGTCATTGCATCCTGTAAGATGGTCAGTTATGATAGTCTTCCTAACTTGGAGGCTCACAGTTGGGGTAAAACTTTAAATTTAACATACACTATTGTTCATAAAAGTTTCTGCCAAATGACCCTTGTATTAGAACTCTTCACACAATTCCCTAACTCATTCTTTTTTAAAGATGCTTCTATGCAATTTGGTGTTGAGAGATGTGAAGTTTCCATGGCCAAACATAATTGGAAATTCTCATCTTCAGGGAGTTTAATAACATACATTAGCATATGAAAATATGCATAGGTACATATGGTTATGTCAAATTATCATGGTTTGACTCAGGTTATTCCAAAATGTTGACCACAGAACCCTTTTTCCTAGCAAAACCTATATTCCCTTTTGATCTAGCTTCATCATCAGGCAATGCTTTTATATTATAATCAAATTAACAATCTTATAAACACATTAGGCAGAGARAATCTTTTATCAGGATTTTTGTATAGAAATGCAGTTCACTTTTTTGATTCTGTTAACATAATTAATGTGAACAGATATCTTTTTTGTTTTGTGATGGACACAATTGCAATGTAAATAGTGTGTGATAGTTTGTATTGGTTAACTTATACCCCAATTGTGATGATGTAAAGTACTGAATAATGTACACTCTTAATGTATAAGTGCTTTTATTTATACAGTAAACATGTTTCCATGTCATTTTGAGAATTTTTTTAATAAACATTCAAATAGCTTGCTGTAAAGTTTTGTATCATACAAAATTTATTACATATATAGTATTATGCTTCAGTTCAAACAACAGTGCATTAATTCACCTATATCTAATAGACTGCCAAATGGTTAAATGTCAGGTATTGCACTTCTATTTCGAGTGGCAGTTCACACATTTTAAATTACATCAAGGGGAAGTCAATACTATGGGAATTTTCATTTGGTCCATTTTGATTGTAATTTCAAGGACTGTGCTCATTTAATCTATTTTAAGCATGCATCCAAAAAAAAAAGTAACAAAAATGTAGTCAAGTTATATATTTATTTCCAGAAAAGGCATTTACCCTGAAAGAAAGTAGATTTTGTTAAGGTAGTTTAAACTCTTGTGCAATTTAAAAAATAACAAAATAATTTTGTGATTATTTATTTAAAAATATACAAATCAAGTTTATTTGTAATCTTATGGCATTACTAAACTGGACAGACAAAATAAATATTATTTGTCAGAAATGTGCTTTTCTATGTTATTTTGTGTTTTGACAACCTTAAAAATGATGTTTTATTTTGTTTATGACAGTATTATTTGGAATCAATAGGAATAACTTTATTAAAAATCTTGGAAATTAAATCTGTTGGAATAGAATCCAAGACTTCTTTCATGTTAGCACATAATTTCCCTTAAACTTTAAAATACAACTGGGGGTGTTTTATTACTTTGAGATTTGTATTAAGAGATCCCATTTTTATTGTTAATCATTTCATGGTAAATTAAGCATTTTCAAATGAATGCGTGATGCCAAGGTATTATCTAATAGTATGTCTAGAGTATACACATAATATTAGATGATACATGTAAAATATTTAGAACTTACAGTGTAGACAAGGTTTTAATTGTACATTTTGTATGTGCAGTGCTGGAGATTGAACTCAGGGCCTTGCACATACTTGATGAGTGCTCTACAACTGAGCTCTATCCCAGGCCTGAAGTTTTAAATGAATATTGTTCAGATGATTTATCATCTAGATAAGATCAAATCATCACATATATCCAAATATTAAATTAGAAATTTCCTGTGATTTCGAGTACTGAGCACAAAACTACCTTCCAGAAAAATTCTGGGAAACCCAGGGGAAACTGTCAGAAAAATCTGTGCTTTTGATTGTTTCCTGCCATGTCTCTTTCTACTTGTTTTAAAACATATTTTTCTGGCATATAAAGAAAAGAGYTTTATTATATATTTAATATCCCTTTTATCCAAGTAGCTTGCAATGTGCTTTGTGTATTATTTTGCATGTGTTCAAAACTCAGGTTTGCTTCTGTATATCAGAATATATAGCAAGTAAACCTAGGCAGCACTTCTATATCACTACGATGTGCTCTAGTTAAAAGATAGATAGGGCCTTTGCCTATGTGCTAGTTATATTTTCAGTTTGCCACTTCTGTGACATCAAGAGATGGTGGCAATTTGGGAAGCTTACAGGGACCAAGAAGAACTGGTCTAGACATCATTAAATAGCTATATTCAGAGGCATGTATTGCCAGGAATGATTAGTTCCCAGTTCTGATACATTTGGGAGGAATTCCAACCTTTTCCCCTAAGCATAAAAATATAAATGTGTATATATGTATATATAGATATATAGATACATGCATATAGTCATTTGTATTTTAGTTGGTTGTATTATTTAATCAAATTTTATGTTGATATGATCGCTGAGATTTCAAAGGATAGCCTGAAAGTGTGAATATAAAAGTTCCAGAAACATTGATTAAAGATCCATATTGTTTTCAAAATTATAACTCATTTAATAATGATCATAAGATTTACTGAACTTTTAAATGTATATTTAATTTTCCCATAGTTATCTAAATGCAGGACCCTCAAATTTATCTTATGGCAAGAGATAATTAATCTTACGGAAAAGTTTGAAGATATTTAGCCTTTTAACTCTAAGATACTTGTGTTCTGATCAGCCTCACTTGTATCTGCTACTTGAATTTGGTTAATTTTTCATTCATTACATAGGTAAATGTTCTCATGGTGTTTAAAATCTTATAAATGAAGGGTGAGGAATCTAAGCTACTAAACAAGTCTAAACCATCCTTAGCTTAGTACATGCCACATTTTGACCAACATATTTCATTTGAAAGTTTTCTTTCAAGATAATTTTTGTTTTCTTAAATAGTAGTGGAGCAACTAGAGAATGAATTAAGAAAATATGAAGCTTAGACAAAAGAAAATATTATCTGGTTACTTTCATTCTTATTTAAAAATGCATCAAGGATACATTTATAAAAGGTTGTTTTACATATAACTTAAAGCCTGTTTAGCCATTAGGAATTTTAAGTAAACAGTTCATCTTTTTGTTAATTATTACAGTGGTCTTGAGGGGTAGTAAGTTAAATGTTTTTATATTTCTTTAACTTTAGGTTTAAAGTTTGGTACCACTCAGTCCAGCTTACTAGTTAGTATCCTAATGGAGCTCAGCAAAACTGTAGCACTGTTACAATTTTGTGATTTTGTGAAATACATCAGCACCACCATGCCTATATCTAGTACTGTACTTTGTGAAATGTTGGAAATAGTTGGCTTTTCTAATAAAAGTATCCTATCTAGCTAATGAGATTTTCTTTCTTTTTCCCCAAAATAATTTCTTTTACAAATTCTTGAATTTTTGTGTATAAATAGATCAGAAATTATATGCTTCATTCTTAAATTATGTATATATACTATATTTTCAATACAACTTGTACACCTCTTTTAGCTACCAAAAATTTGCAACCATTTTTACATAAAATTTACATTTTTCTTATTTACAGTTATTTGTAGAAGGTTATTGCAAAACTAGTTGTGCAAGTAGATTACACTGTCAATACCACATACCAATCTTTGAAGAAAATATTTGCTAAAAAATAAATATTTCTGCACAGAATATTTCAAAAGCATCATGATTTCATGCTACATTATGTGCATAAAGACTACAAAGTAGTATGTGTTTTGGTAGTTTGTTTCATTTAGTTTAAAGCATTCCAAAGTATTACTTAACCAGATGTGAGTGAGCTTCTTTATATGAGATGACTGACACACATTCTTTTTTTGAAATACATTATTCTTTAACTTGCAAACATTCTGATATAATACATTTTATTACCAAAATTATGAAATGAAAATATCAGGTAAAAAGATGT